ATAAGCTAAAGAATGTCATGCAGTTGAGGAGCCAAAGTCAAACTGGACATTAATATATTTAACATGCAAGCAGAAATCCTGCATGAGCATTCTTATGTATGCATAAGCCTATGTGAAAGTCTTCACAGCTTCCTGTAACTTCAAATACACTCAGCATTACATCTCCCTGTTAACAGACTTTTTCCCTTCCCATGTAGCTCTCTTCATAGGCACAGTATCCATGTTAGTTTTCCTATCCTTTCATCTTGGACAATCACAGTCTACTCTGCAACAAGACCAGTAGTAACACTCCACAACCCCTACTCTCATTCTGAAAGACATAGGAACAGTTACGTTTTCCTGTCTCCCTAGATTACCCATCTCCTGTACTGACATAGTATGCATTCCTGTGCCCATTCCCACTAACAATGTTTAATATCCCTGTACACAGTAATCCACACTTGCTGCTCCCTCCCAGTACTTATAAGTTCCTCAGTCAAGCTTCACTCCTTTCAGCCTTGAAATCCTCCTGCTCATTTTTGGTGTAGCTTCTCAGACCTCTGCACTGTAACATCACTACTGTATTGAATCCACTTCCCGCAGCTGCCAGTTAGACCATCCTCTTTTAACACCTAAAAAATTACTGTATTCTGTAAAAGGAAGCTCAGCCTTAGAATGTGTTCCATCATATGGCCACACATGAGAGGTTTGCTATTGCACAGAACAAAGGGAAAGTAGGACAGTGTCATAATTACAGCTGGTCATGTATACCAGCTGGTCACCATGTATACTGTGACCTGGTCCTGACTACAAATCAGACGTTACCCTGCAAATCATCTCTAATATCAGCCAAAATTGATGCAGGACAGGGAAAGAGATGCTGGATCCAAAGGTGTTATACCCCTTCAAGTTAAAAAGTATCAAACTAGTGAGAAATTCTGAATTTTTCTAGTGAGCTTAATTTCACAGGAGGAAGGAAGACAGTAGCAGGAGCAAAACAAAAAACAAGCTGCTTGACCTGTCCAACTGACTTCACCAGTTGTGTTTCATGTTAACTGTAAAGTGACAAGATTTTTTATGAAAAACTAAATAATCTCTGTTACCATAAGGGGAACCTCCCATCACAGGGCTATTTGTCACACTTTGAAAGGATCTTACAGCTTTGTTGAACAGCATTTTCTCCAGGTAACAGCTCACTGGGAGAAACCCCTCAGCTAGCATGATGGTCAATATTAATTTGTTCCTTGTGGTGGTGTTTTTTTGTTGTTGTTGTTTGGTTGTTTTTTTTTTCCTTAAATATTTAACTAAAATCTCCCTGAACACAAGACAAGACCTCATTTTACTTGTATTGTTGTCCAGCAGAAAAGGACATGGTACCTTCAACAAACACATTGGTAGCAGGCATCTGTTCCCTAGGGCCTAATAAGAAGCTTTAATAATGAAAGCCTCTAGTGCCTCAGAGGTTCCCAGCATCAGGTAGTGCTTCAAAAAGGAGGCTGCTGGCCTCCTTCAGATGGTGCTGAAAGGAGTCTGCTGCTCTCAGCAACAGATAATACAGGTCCACACTATCTGGCATATTTGATTAAAGCTTGGTTGTAAACATTAGTTTCAACACATATCAAGTCATCCTTGAATTTGCCAAGTCATCGGCTGAGTGCCAATGATAACTATGTAATTTAGTGAGGTTTTTTAAAATACAGAAGCTAGCATAAACAAAGCAAAGGTTCAACTGCCTGAACTCCCTAGTACACACCACCTCTAAAATTATCACTTACAGCAAAAGCTGCAATTTTCAGCATTTTCTTTAACTTAAATAACAAGAGAGGCAGCTAGAATGAAGAGGAAAGCTTTGGCAGCTTTTTAAGTTTATACACCCCATTAACTTTGGCTATAAAAAGCAGTATGTCCCATAGTCAAACCCTCTTACAAATTACACTAGTCACTCACCTCAAAGCCACTAAAAAACAATAACAATACAGGTCCTTCTGTGCTATAGCAGGTACTACAGAAGGATCAGTCAAGCACCCTGAAAGTAGACATTCTTCAGAAGCTAGTCTCTTTCTGAAGAGGTGTGCAGGGAAAAAGGCCACATCTACCTAGCTCTCACTCATAGAAGCTCTTGCACACAGTGCAAGAATGTATCAGAGAATAATACAAACCTGCTTTACTGAAAACCAGAATTAATCCAGAAATCCCAGCTGCACTGCACTTGAATACTCTGGGTGGCACCGATGTTAAAATGCTGTTGTCAGCATGACTGCTGAGTTCACACTCTCCATGAATGCAAAACCGAAGTTCGCTTTAACTACAGCAGACTATTAAACAACACTCATAGCTAGGAGGATAGTGAAAGCCTACCTAATTTAGAGCCGGCTCTTCCTCCAGAGCCAGGTTTGACTTGCCATGTTTAATCTGTTCCTGTGTGTAACAAAAACCTTACACCAAAAGTTTGCCCCTTCTGTGGCACCATAGACAGAAAAGGGGGAAGAGATACAAAGCAGAACAACAATTCTAGGTTGTATTCACACACCATTCTCTCTTCAGAACCTGAATGGTAAGGCATTTCGTTCCTCTTAAGGAGGTTCGTGCATTCACCGGTTTTTGAGCTGTGGTCACAAGTGTTAATTTGTATATTTATGTATCAGATTCCAACACTTTTGCGGTCCAGTGGGAGAGGTTTGACATACCTTTCATATATAAAGTGAACTGACTGTAGAAGAGCACAGCCTAGAAAACAAACTTGGATGTGTGAGAGACTGGAAAGACTGATGTCTCAAAACATTTTGAGGTGCAAATGTCTGGGGGAAGGGGCAGATCAGACCTTGCTCTGGTGAGGCAGTGCACACCCCCATCCCTAGAGCCTGTATCCCACAGTGACCACCAATCATAGGCACACTATAGGCAAGGGGCACTTAAGGCCAAACATGCTGCAAGCATATGTCTCGACCCTACCTCCTCTTGGAATTTCTATCAGCTGAACACTGCTAGGACCCAGCAGTTAGTAGCTGTATGTGCCCTTTTTAATATCTTTTCTATCTTTTTCTTCTAAGTCTCTCCTCTCAGAATTTTTGAGTGACTTGAAATCAAACAGGTTTAGAGCTTGACAAGTTGAATGGGCTAAGTTAATGCTTTGGGACGTGTTTTATGTTAACTGAATGTTACACAAAACCTTTTGCCAAAGTTCTCTGATTTTCTATAGTTGCCAGTAAAATATTTTTTGACCTCTTGAGAATATCTTGACAGTATTTCTCCCGTGTCTAACTCAGAGTAAATGAGCCCTGTTAACTGTAAGCCCTGTTAAAGATCTTGCTGAGCGACTTTTTGGGGCCTTACAGGATACCCACACATCATCACTTGCAGATGCATCAAAAATGAGATCAAACTGACACTTGCACCAGATTTCAAGTTCAAAAGGGTGAGAGTAGCCCAACAGGACTTTTCCTGAAATTAAGAACTTGCTAAGTTTGCATGGAGAATATTTTTTGAGACTTGGGTTCCTAAGTTACAGCTTACAAGTACTCTATTGCTGTCTATCAACCAGATCAGCTGCTGTGCACAAAACCACATATTATTTCATGACCAGCAGGGTATTCTCTATGTCTAGGCTTTATTACTATTTTGTATCTCAGAGCCACAGATGTATTTGTATTCACAGAATCATCCAAATAGTGATGTGCTGCATTAGGGCTGTGAATACATCAGACAGCACCATAACAGGGGAAATACTTCTTATGCCAGCAACTTCTGCTGTTTAAGCACGGGGAATGGGCTCTAGCAGTTCCTTTCAAGTCACGAATGGATGAACTCTTCCACGATGTCCTGCCCAGAAATGCAACAGGCCAAACTCTAAGAAAGCCACCTAGTCCCCTACACACTAGCAGTACATAAGGCAAATCAGGACTGCCAAATTAAGATACTGTATCACAAAATCAGTTAGGTTGGAAAAGACCCCCGAGATCATCGAGTCCGAGATGTGACCCAACACCACACTGTCAACCACACCATGGCACTCAGTGCCATGTCCAGTTCTTTAAACATCTGCGAGGACAGTGACTCAACCACTTCCCTGTGAAGCCTACCCCAACGCCAAATCACCCTGTCTTTTAAGAAATTCATCCTAGTGTCCAACCTAAACCTCCTCTGACGCAGCTTAAGACTGTGTTCTCTCCTCCTGTCGCTGTAGTACCCTGCTATCCGCTTGAGAAACGAAACCTTTCCCTTAAAAGTGCGATGAACAACCCGTCATAATACGAAATTGCATCATCTCCCCTCTCACTCCGACTCCCCGAAGCCTCAGGTCCGCAGTTATTTGTCCCCAACCTCTGCCCCGGCCGAGCGCTCCGCGCGGCTTCCCCCGGTCGCGCCGCATGGGCGAAGCAGGCTCCGCCTGCCCGGGCAGCACACAGGCTCTCAGCCGCCATCTCCCGCAGGCCGCTCGAGAGCCCGGGGCAGCCCGAGCACGATCCCCCGCCTGCCAAACCGCCCCGGGCACTGGTAATCCCCGTTCGCCCGCCCGCCGGGCAAAGATGCTCGTCCCGCCGCCCGCCTCTCTCACTGCGAAAAGACATGGCCGCCTCGCCCATCGGACTCACCAGGTTGCCCACGATCTTCACCATGGCGGCGACGGCTGGGAAAGGAGACTCGGTGCTGTAAAGGCAAGGAACCAAGGGATTCGTCCCCACACTCGCCTCACCTTCCCGCCTTGCCTCTCGCCGTCCCAGCACTTCTCCCACACGCCCCGGCCGCCCTTTTATGCCCAGCCCGGCCCCGCGCCCCGCATGCGCAGGACCCGGCCCGCCTCCTGCCGCTCCCCGCTCCCCCCGCTCGCGGCGCCGCTGGGCTCGGGGGTGCTGCTGGGGCCTCGCTGAGGGCGGCGGAGAGGGGCGAGCGCCGGGTACGGCTCTGCCGGCGCTGCCCTGGCCGCGAGGGGAGAGTATGTCCCTGCCGGCTGCCAGGGGAACCGGCAGCAGCAGCGGAAGAAAGAAAAGCCCAAGAAGGTTGGAAAAGTGCTGTGTAACGATGAGCAGGAAGTTGCTCGGCCCCCCCCCCCCCCCCCCCCCCCCCACTCCCCGAGGAGCGGCTGTGTCTGACGCGGCGTTTTGCTCGCCTTACGAGAAAGGGAGCTGGTGTTGCCCGTAATGGAGGCAGAGTGGAAGGCAGGAATAAATTACGGGAATATTTTTTTCTTCTTTTTTTTTCCCTTGTTGCTTTCCTTCCCACCACCAAAAGCATAGAGTGGCGCCATTGCTCTGTGGGATGTGGGCCCTTGTGCAGCGCAGAAGGCTGCGGTGTTTAACCCGCGGTTAAACTCTGACCGTCTCCGTAGCTCCCCTCATGCAGGGACTCAGCCAGAAAGACTCCTCAAGGGAACAGCTTAGCGTTCCCATCCGAGGGGATTCTGTGGTGGAACCTAAAGTTAAATCCATCTTTTTTTTTTCTCTGTGTTTTGGAGACAGCCTTTGTTTCACCACATGCTGTGCCACAGCCTACCCCACAGTGCAAAACAGGTCTGCCACAGCCCTGTTCTCTTTCTGTTGGGCTGGTAGGGTTTAATGTTGGACTCTGGACGTTGCTGACTCCAGTTCCTACTGCATGGGACCCAGGAAAGGTTAGGTGTTGGGATATTGGTGCCAGGTGTGTCACGAATGGGCTGTTTCTGCAGGTTTTAGCAGTTGGGTTAGCAGCCTTTGAAAGTTTGCTCTGGGATACACCTGAGCAGAAGGTGGGAAGACTTAGTGCAGGTCCTGGATAAAAAAAGAATACAGTTCTTCCTTGAAAAGAAAAAGAAAACAAAAGACAGTTTGCCTTGGATACAGGTACCAACCCATCCCAACGGGATATGCCCTCATATGTTGCTTTACTTGTGGTGGAAACTGAGTAAGTAATTTTTTATTTTGGAAGTTTATTAAGTGTGTGTCATACTACTGCAGGAGAACTAGTAAGCTCTTTTCTGGCCCTGTGGTTGCATCCCCTGTCTATATCTTTCCAGACCTGATAGGTTTTGTCTGCCTGAAACACTTTGACTGCTACTCTCTCTGCTTCTTCTCCCACCTGTTAGATACCGTGAGCATCTCCTTTTTTTTCTTTGGTAGCATCACTAGAGGAACCAGGATGCCAGTGGGTGAGAAGCAGCACCATGAAGGCTTGGTGGTTTCTGTTGACTTTTGTGTTTTCATCCAGCTTCCTCCAGCTGGTCCCTGCTGCCCTTGTGCCTTGTGGCTGGCAGACACAACTGGTACATGTGTCCTGTACTGCTTTGGGGAAGTGCAGCTGCTGCTGATGGCTCAGAAGAAAGCAGGAATTCCTCATCAGCCAAGGCACCTTTCTCTACAACCTGCGGCCTGGCAGGATAAATTAAGAAACCCAGACTACTTTCAAAGTCCCAACTCCTGAATGCCCCACCTCAGCCAAGCGTCGTGTGGCTCTTGCAGAAGCCAGTGCAAGCAAAGGCAGGGAACAACCTGCCCAAATAATAAATTCTTAGAAACCAACAGCCTACTAAAGGCAAGTGTGGGTGGGTAAACCCTCTCTAAACTAGAAGGAAAAGTGTGTCTTTTCTCTGGTGCCATATGTGGCCACTTGTCTCTTGCTGTGCTCACAGCCACTTGACTTTACAGGCTTAGGCATACAGCAGTTTGAAGTTCAAAATGTTGCTGTATGATTGTTGTATGGATGCCTAAAATAACTGGACAGTAATATAATTTATATTTATATCTGTGCTTGATTCTTAGATTGTAGTAATTACTATAATGACAGCACATAATAAAAATGGTACAGAGGAATGTGTGTCCTCTAAATGGGGAAAAACCTATACCCCCAGAAAACACACCCTGTTTTCTTATTACTTTTGGTTTGATTTTTTGTTTGGTTTTTTTTTTTGTTTGTTTGTTTTTGTTTTGTTTTTTTAAACTGTGGAATATCTCATTGTTTAGCTCAACAATGCTGTAGCTGTCCCATGTACACAGTCACTCATCCATAGGAGCCTCAGCTTCTCAGGTGCCCTCACTCCCACCCACCTTCCTCACAACCACAAATGCAACATACTTCTCTCCCCCAGGCTGCTGGAGAGTGGATGTTAAAAATATACTAGTTGACTGTGGAGAAGTTGAAAATCACGTGAATTTCATGATTCAGCAGGCTGCTGTATGATGTGTCATACCCAGGAGTCACTGGATAGAATGGTGGCCAGTAGATGGCTCTTTGCAAATATGGGCTGGCAGAGAACGGGGAAGCACTTAAAGACATTCAGGAAGGTGTGTTTGCTTGCTTCTGGAAGTCAGAAAATGTGTTCTGAGGAGGGGCAGAGTGAAAAGGCAATGTAACTTTGAAAAATTAGTCCCTCGATAGTTTCTCTTGCAGAAAATCTGAAGACATAGACAAATGCCTGAGCCACCCATGCACTATAACTGAGTATATCTTTGCCACACTCCTTGGATGTGTGCGAAACATGTGGGAGAGGAAGTCAGAAGATCTAAATTTAGATGCCCTCAAGTGAATTAATCAGTACCACTTAGGTGTAGGCCAGTAAAAAGGACTGTATTTTTGGAGAGCTCATGCTATACCACAGTCATCACAAACATCCAGGTGGGAATTCAATTTGTGTTTTTTAGTCACCTTTAAAGCTCCCGTGGTGGAAGGCATCCTTTATTTTTTGGGCTTTGTTTGTGTTGTTTTCTGTCACAGGTGAGAGCAACATGGGCCAGCGGTAGGAAAGATCTTCACCCTGGAGGTGAACTCAGGGTGTGCTCAGGGTCAGACCTGCAGCAGGGTTTTGGGAGGCTGAGCAAATTACAGTTTCAGTTCTTTCTGAGCTGCTGGGAGAGGTGGGAAGCAGGGTAGAAAAGGTGAGCAGCACTAATCCCTGATAGGATGACCAACGAGGCAGGTTGTAAATCATGGTGTCCATCTGGATGAATGAGCCAGAGCTGTGACACATGGTCCTGGTGTGATGCCTCCCCAGCTCCACATGTCTTTCCAGATCTGTAGTTTAAAGGCTTTGGAGCCATGAATCACCTTTCCAGGGCTTGATTTTTCTTTTCTTCTTATATGCCAGTGCATGTCGCTGGATAGAGGAATGCTATGGAGTGGTGAGACCCAAGGTAGGCTGTAGGTCTGCAACTGCACATCCATGAGCATATCTAAGAAAAACTTCTGTCTCCTAAAACCACTCTTAAGTGTCCTGACCTCTCAAATGTGTCATTCAGTAAAAGGCACAGCTACAAGGATAATAATACTACAACCATGGCACAGATGGTCAGTCATGTCCAACATTACAAAACGGTGCATCCAGCTGCAGAAATGAGGCAGCTGCTAGAGGCAACAACTCCAGCCATAGCAGCATCAGATTTTACCATAGGAAAGCCAGGTTATTTGCCATTGTCTTGCAATGTAAATTTAGAGTGTAACATCTGGCCCTGACACTGCAACAGGGCAGCAACCTTTAATTGTACTTTCCCTTTCCTTCCAGCCTGCCCTTCTGGACGATTTTGCTTTTGTAACTCATGTATTAAAGATGCAATAAATGTTTAATAATAGGATAGGTGTGCTTGGTGTTGTGCCAGCATAAGTCACAGAGGAAACATACTTCTTTCTCTCTCACAGGCTGATGTACTGCAGATGTAATTGCCTAGAGTCTTTTGAATGCTTGGTGTAGCATGTCTGATTAAAAATGAGAGAAGTTGAGTAAAATGTGGAAAAAAAAAGGGAAATAAAGATCTTGACCACAGTTCATCTCCCCTTACCATGGGGGGGATATTGCTTAACAAAACCCTTCTGGGAATCAAGAAAACATCCATGTCACTTCCCTTACATCCATGTTCCCTTCCCTCATTTTTGCTTCATTTTTGAATCTTTGGAGAAAAGAATTTCAAAACACTCCAGAGCTGATGAAGCTACTACTTTTGGGACTTGTATTAGAAGGAACCTGTTTTTTAAAGAAAGCGTCTGTGAGCTCACCTGGGTTTATGCCATGTTGTGGGTCTCTACAAAGGAAGGTACCCTGACAGGAGGTCTGTGAACATGGGAATGCTTATATGCACTCTATCGCACTTCAGGCCTCATGTCAAGACAAACACATGTGTATTTGCCTTAAGTGTCTCAAACTCAGTCATCTCCTCCATGCTCCCAGCCTCTGTTCTTCCTTGGGTAGCAGAGCAGTCTAGAACAAGCAGATCTGCATTTTTTTTCTACAATACATGTTGCATGTTGTGTATTTTTTTTTTTTTTTTTTTCCCTAGAGAACCGCATCTTTTTTTAGGGGATCCTTCAGTTTCCTAGGGAATGATGCTGAATCTGTCTGTCCAAATGTCCCCTGGTACCTGGTACTACACAGAAGCAAGACTCTTTGAGGTGCAGGAGGGTATTACAAGGCTCTTGACCTTGAGGACAGCAGTGGACAAAAAGGAAAAAAGAATTTCAAGGTTGTGCCAAAGCATGAAGCTGAAATTTAGCACTTTGTGGTTGCTGTGCTTGTGCTGGACGTCTGCAGAATGGGAGATCAGGAGACACCTGGAGAGGAGATAAGATATTTTTGTTTTTTAGGGACACGTGCATTTTCATTTTTGTCTGAGGGACATTTTGTCTGGGGGACAGTAGCTGCTGATTTGGCCTGACAATAAAACACTGATGTTTCAGGACATGTGGAGATACACATGTGGGATGTCTTTGAGGAAGCAGGCCATGCAGAATAAATGTGTATGTGGTGTCTACATGGAGGACAAAATGGTTGGTATATGTTTTGCTTCCAGGTGTGGCTGGTTGACCTTGTCTGGCCACCAAAGCCACTCTATCTCTTCCCCTTCTGAACTGCAGAGGGGAGAGAATTTATAACAAAAGCCTTGTGGGTTGAGTTGAGGACAGACTGCTGTTACTGTCATAGGCAAAATAGCCTCAACTTTGGGAAATTAATATATTGCTAGTTAAAATCACAATTAGGATAATTAGAAATAGAAACACATCTTTCCCAACCCCTCCCTTATTTCTGGTACAACTTCACTGCTCATTTTCTTTACCTCCTAGCCCTCAGTGACACAGGAGGATGGGGAATGGGAGCTGCAGTCAGTTCCTCACACATTCTCTCTGCCACTCCTTCCTCTGCAGGGCAGCAGGTGCCTCCCATGGGAGACTGTCCTCCATGAGTTTCTTCAGTGTGGGTTCTTTCCATTGGCAGAAGTTCTTCCTGAACTGCTCCAGTATTAGTTCCTTTTTTTGGGGTGCCATTCATCAGACACAGACTGTTCCAGCCAGGGTCCCCTGGGGGGGTCAGCAGTCTTGCCAACAAACCTGTGCCAGTACAGGCTACTCTCTCCATGGCTCCACAAGCTCTACCAGGAACCTGTTTCAGAATGAGCTTCCCATGGGATCTCATCCTCCCCTGGGCATCCCATTGCTCTGAGCTGTAAGTCCTCCACAGACTGCAGGTCCTAGCAGCTTCTAGCAGCTTCTCACAGAAGCCACTCCTGCAGGCCCCCTGTTACCAAAACTTTCACACATAATTCCCATTCACCAGGGATTTGGTCCTCTGCTTTTCATTTAGAATTTATCTGAAATACAATTAGTTCCTGGAAATGACTAATGTATATATTTCACCAGAAATAAATCTGTTCATGGTTGTGTGGGCAAGACCCTTTTCATCAGAGAGTTTCCAGGAGGTCTACAGGGCTGAGCCAGTTTCCACTAGCACAATTTGCCAGGTGCTCTTCGTTTTCTTCATCTTAAATGCAAGTTTGTGAATGAAATGCACTGAGTTGGTGTGTTACCAGTGAACTAACACATCTGCGTTAAAAGTATTGACATCGCACATGGGTGATTTGTCATGTAATGTAGAGAAGTTGCAAGCTGTAATTATCTTTAGCTACCTTCCCAAATCTTGTTCACAGACCGAAAAAAGTACCTATGCACCTGAGGTATGGCTCCTGTGGCCCTGAAGTGTTTGTTCTGACTGCCACCATTCAGGTGTCCTTGCATCAAGCCTGGCTCTGATCTCCCAATCGAATGTATAGGAGTCCAGTGCCTTTTGGCAGCTGGCTGTGGCAGACCACACTGTGCTTCTCGCAAGAAACAGTGTGTGAGAAGGGGTGTGGGAATAAGGTTCAGTTCTTCATTTTTCTTTGCATCACATTCAAATTACAAACCATTGCCAATGACAAACATTGGTTTTGACTGTCCGCTGCCCAAAGCTGTTCTGCTTTCTCTTTCTCTCAGTGTCACCCTCTTTCCTGTCTTGTTTTTTTTTTTCTTAATTCCTGACCTCTCCTTGTTTTTTTTTTTTTTTTTCTTCTCACCATGCTCTACAGCTTTTCTTCTGGAAGTAAGAATACATTTCTGTATAGTTCTGAATCTGCCTCACAAACCTCCACATTCCTGCAGTACCTGCAGGCTGAGGGACTCAGATGCATAAGCCACACAGACTTTGACCTTCAGCAGTGATGCATTTGTCAGCTCTGATTTAAAAACACATGATGTGGTTTGTACACTGAGAGTTGTTCATGGTCCTATTGGGAAGGTGTGGGGCTCCCTCTTTCCTGTTTTGTACACTCCCTGGACCACTGCAGAGACAAATTTGGCACTAGTGTCCCTACACTTAGTGCCTCTATGATCCTCTCTGCTCCAAAAACTAGAATGGATTTGGGGCATTGGGTCTACTTCATTGGCTTCAGGAGAGCAAGTGTGTTACCTCTCTCAGGACTCCATGCAGCTCTTTCATGCTCCTCTTGTAACCCTGAAATGAGTGATCTGATATCTGGAGACATAACAGTGCAGTAAAGAAGCTGTCAGCAGTGTGAAGGAAAAATGATGGAAAGAGAAAGAGCAAACTAGCTTTAGACCTGCATCCCAAGGTGTCTCAAGGCCTTAATGTGATCTCAGCTGTGGGACAGCGTCACATCCGTCCCACAAGGTGTACCTCGGAACGCTAGGGCACTGCCTCAGCATTGTTTTCTGTCCTTGCACCCATGGCTGTCCATAGGTTGTGGGGTTGACTAATATCTTAAAATGCAGCTATATGGTTGCCTCTTGTGGTGGGTCAGCCCTGGCTGGACACCAGGTGCTTCTCAAAGATGCTTTGCCATTCTACTTTTCAGCTGGACAGAGGAGAGAATTCTCGTGGGTTGAGATAAGTATGGGAAGAGATCACTCACTGATTACCATCATAGGCAAAACAGACTCAACTTGGAAGATAAATCAATTGGATTTATTACCAATCAAATCAGAGTAAAATAATAAAAAATAAAACTAAATGCTAAAGAATCACCTTTCATCCCATGTCTCCCTTTTTCCTGGCCAATTTCTCTACTTCATCCCCCAGAATGCAGGGAGTTGGAGAAGACTGCAGTCAGTTTATCACACATTGTCTCTTCTGCTCCTTTCTCTGCAGGGGGAGGACTCCTCACACTCCTCCCCTTCTCTGGACTGGATTTCTTCAGGGCTTGGTCTTGACCAGCAGTGGCTCCACTGGACATAGGGGAAGCTTCTAGAAGCTTGTAGAAGCCACATCTATAAACTGCCCCCCGCCTCTACTATGATAAACTTGCCTTGCAAATGCAGTGCATCCATAAACCTCATTTTCTTACCCAAAACCAACGGTGCTTCATCTCTTGTTGCTGGCTCAGGTCACAGGATGGCCGTGTGTAGGTATGGAGTCCAAGTTTAAAAACCTGTAATCTGTGATTTCCTAGATGCTTTTTTAACAGAATCATGATGTTCACTGGGGAGAAAGTGCACATACAATTGCATTTCTGTGCCCAAACAATTAATGCTGAAGAACCCATGTTTACACTGCAGAAGCTGTCCAGCTGACATTTTTCAAAGCAATTATATTTTTGGATGTGCAAATATGTAGGGATGAATAGGAAGATGGTCACCACATCCTGGAAAAAAACTTAGGATCCTTGAAGACATCTGTAATAAAGCATTTGAAAAACAGGGCTGAAATGCCCTGGAGCAGGCGGGAAGAAACAAAACTAGGTGGCTATCTCATGAGACATGTGCTCTTGCCCCTTCCAAAAGCTTGGAGGGGTCTGTGATTCATGCAATGACAGATAGGCTTGAGGAACCACACAGCCAGAGCCCCAGGACAGAGGAGCCTTCTAGTCTTAGACTTATCCATCAGACACCTCAAGCCACAGCTACATCCAAGCAGATGCAGTGCTGTAAATGTCATATCCATGCTGGTGGCAGGTATCACCTGTTTCATAAGGATTTCACAGCTGTTTGGCCAACATGTATGTGTGGTTTGTGGGTCTGTCCATATGACCAAGGTGACCACTGAGATATGGTACCCAAGTATGTCCCTCATGTGACTGGCTACAAGTCACATGTGTGCCAGTGATGCATTTCAGGCATTTATCAACACCAGTTTTGTCTGTTGGAGCAGAGGACTACAAGGCAACCTTTTCCTGGTTGCCAACAGGGAATGAGGAGAAGACTGGCCCTTGCCTTTTCTGTGTGCTACAGAGGAGCAATGGGCCCCTTTCCACCCCCTCTACAGCCAGGCTAACCCTCAGCCTCCAACCAGAAGAGGTTTTCAAGTTACTTC